TCATATCGACAATATTTCTACTAAATTGGCTGAAAGTATTGGAATTCTATATAAGGTCAGATACTATCTAAGTAAACAAAATTTAATTCAACTCTACTACTCGTTTATTCATAGCTATATAAATTATGCAAATATTGTTTGGGGAAGTACCTCTAAAAGTAAGTTACGAAATCTTTACCATCGTCAGAAACACGCAATGCGTTTAATATGTTTCGAAAATCGTTTTTCTCATTCAAATATTTTATTTAAAAACGCTAAAGCACTTAACGTTTACGAACTCAATGTCTATAATTTTTTATGTTTTATGTTTCGTTGTAAAAGTGAACGACCATTGTCCACCGTATTTATGGAACAAAATTGTTGTTCCAAATTTTGATTTGTCAATTTCGTTTTCCGTTTTTAAAACTAAATTAAAAAACTATATTCTTTCTACTGGCAATATATATAAATATTTTTGAAATGTATTTTTTTTTTTTTTTTTACTCTGGATAATTTGTAAAATTATTATCAGTTTTTGTTTCTTCTACATTGTTATTAGTTATTTGATCAATTGTATTTTATTTTATTATATATACACGTATTATATCTTTTATATGGTTCTGGCGACAAGATCATTTGGATCTTTTTTCAGATACCAAGTTTATATATTGTTATATTGTTATATTACGATTATTAATTGTAAACTGAAAAAAAAAAAAAAAAAAAATATATATATATATACTTAGAAACTAATACTTATTTAAAGTTGAAGTAATATAATACCGACAAATAAACATTTTTTCATCCAACAAAGCAAAATAAGTTATGTAAAAATATCATCAATAATAATTAAGATACAATAACTTATTATTTTAGTATATTTTTGCGAGACCCCTTCATGCGCGAGGCCGTCGGCAGTCGTCGACGTCTAATGCCGCCTTGATTGATGATATTAAAAGTTTCTGACATCTACTAAGCTGACTGGTTGGCTAAATAAGTTTTTTGTTTTATATCTCATAAGGGATTATCTCGTAAGGGAAATTTTAAAGTTACTGTCTATTTTATAAGTAGGGCAGAATTTTGTTTTATTGTTTATGCTGACATCATAAACAATTAAATAATATATACCATTTTTAAAAACGATATATACCTTTTCATTAAAGAAAATATACCTTTAAAAACCATTATGTCGATGATTATTATTTTGATTAAGTTTAACATTAAAACCTAATAAATTATAGCCAATCAGAGGCAATTCTACAAATAAAGTTAGGAATGGGGGGTGAGTTCTTAAAAAGTACCGACTGGCTCATAAAAAAAAAACAGGTTGCCAAAACTAATATTTACACGACTAAATTGTGTAAAATACCCAACTAGCCGACAAGGCCGTCTGAAGAGATTTTAAAGGGCGGGTCGAAAAATTAAATTTTTATCGCTAACTTATCTAAAATATAAAAAAAAAGGTCCTCGTTTTTTGATATTTGCCGACTGCCAACATAAGATCTAATTTTACCGACTCCAGTTCCAATTTGCCGACCAAAAAAATTCGTAGGGGGGCTAGACACCCCATTCCCCCCTCGGGATCGCCCTGCTAGCCGACTAAGTTTGTAAAAAAACCAATTATAACTTGAAAATCAGTTTCTTTTTGGGTTGAACATTCCCCAATAAAATCGCCTTTGCTGCCAATTTAAAACCCATTTTTTTAAGTTCAAACTCTGACAGTTCCATATACCTTATACCATATTCACACAAACGACGTTTTACGGAACATTATTGCAAAACTAATGTTTTTCAAACAAAATATTTCCCAAAATGTTCCTTAAAGAACTATAGCCAAATCATAACAATTAAATAGTATCGCCATAAGTTGACGATTGTTGGTGATTTTTGTTTTATGTACCATCAACTGATTTTACAGGTTTAACGTATGACGTATGTAAAAATATGACTTAAACTCAGAAGTGAAAAGTAACGAATTGCATTTATTCACGTTGCCGTATTGATTAGTTATTTTGTGAATTTCTACTTTTTAAGTATTTTTTTAAATGTTTACTTTTACTTTTTCGTAAATTGTTTTTTCCAAAGTATTTTTCTTTGCTACATTATTCCGACAAAATTTTCGGAATCAGAACAAGTTTCCTGCCAAGAATCTGAGTACCTTGACAGGTTTGACATCCTGAAAAGGGATCGTGGTTTTAAGTAACAGCTTCCTCCACATCAAAGATGTGCAGGCCACTTTTTAAATTTAATTGCCACAACTGATGCTGCCTCGGCAGAGAAAAATAATAGCTCATACAAAAGGCTATTACGAGCTGCCTTAGGGAAATGCCAAGCGATGCGGAACAAGACAGGTCGGTTATACTTGGCAGCAGAAACTGTTAAAAAGAAATGCAAGCTCCAGCTTATCAGGCCAAATCAGACAAGGTGATGGCCGAAGTGGAGAAAGTTGGGCAACAATCATCAGATAAAAAAGATTGCTTCTTATCAATGAAATCGAGAAGATCGTAAGGGGAGGTTGATGGGTACCTTGCTTGAAGTTCAAAAAAAAGGATTTTTTGATTTCATTTCCATGCATCAAAAATCTTTCTTTTAAACTGAACACTGTTCATCCTTCCTCTGCTGCCTGCGAGTGTCTATTTAGCGGTGCTGGACTCTTATTCACTTCAAAGCGGGCAAGAATAAAATCGGCCAACTTTGAAAACTAATTACTTCTCAAACATAACAATAAGTTTATAGTTTAAATTTATACAGAAAAGAATAGATTACGTTATTTTTGTTTTTTTAATCGACAGCTTTGTTATCTGACAGGCTGTTAAAAAAGTAACGCAGTAACTTCTACTTTGACAATATTTTTCATTAGCTACTTTTTACTTTTACTTGCGTAAACTTTTCGACCGGTAACTTTTACTTGTATTTGAGTGAAATTTCACTCAAGTAACAATACATTATCTTGAGTGCAATTTAGTTTTATTTTTCCACCTCTGCTAAAAATAGACAAAATTTTAGAATATGAATATATTTTTCTCTACGAGATTAGTCTAAGTAGTCTGGGTTCAAAGTAGAACTCAAAGTAGAAATGACTTTATATGGAAACATGATTGTCATAAAGACATTGTTACTAATTATGCTTAAAATTGATCTGGCTTTTCAAAAGAGTTAAGAGTGTGAACATTTACTCTACTGGACCCATATAAATTGTTAGATGGCTTCCACAGGCTTCATCAACCGGCACCTTCTACCGGCACCTTTCACCGGCACCTTTTACCGGCACCTTGCACCGGCTAATTATACTTAAATACTTAAATACTTATAAAGTTAATTAAGAGCATTTTTTAGCTCCGTTTTTCCAAAAATTATATTTATTAATATTTGGGTTCATATTTGAAAAAGTAAAAAATCTAACTATGTTAGTACAAATAAAAAATTGTTTATTATCTTTATTTATGAATTCAAAATGTTACCACTTTTATTCACGATTCATAAAATATTTTGACTGAGCTCCTTTAAGAAAAATTTTTCACATCAAAAAAAAGGTCGAAACTTGTGCCTTAGGGTAGGATAAGTGAAATACGTTTTGTAAGGTATATTTTTCTTTCTTCAAAGGTAGAAAGTAATGATTTGTCTTACAATTTTTAGCCTAAAATTTCCCAGTTATTTCAGTTAATTCACTCAAAATATTTAACTTTAATTTTTTACCTTAGTAGATAGAAATACTAACCCTTCTAAAGGTATATCACATGTCCTACCCTAAGTTAGAATTTTCTATCATTTTTTTAGAAAAAATTTTAAATCCATTTTTAAATATTGATAAAGTCATTTTTAAAATAAGGTACAAAATTTTCAAATTTTCAAGAACAACTCTGGTGCTAATTAATAAGTTCAAATATGGAAAAGATAACTATATTTTTTTAATCAACTAACTTTCATTACCAATTTTTATAAAAATATAAAATCTTATTATTTTTAGTGTTATATATTAATTAATAAAAGAATAAATAAATGCAACGTATATAGATCATGCAGCTTATAAAGACTTTATATCCACTAATAGCATTAACTTTGTTTTCAAAATAAATCGAAAATGAATCAGAATTTATCTCCTTGTTGAAAGATATAACAAAAAGACTATTTGAAGCTCTTACCGGAAGTTTTTTCTTAAAGACCAGTACTTTTGAAATAAACGTAGAGTGTGCAAATAAAGAAGTTTTATTGAGATGCTGTTAAACCTTAGAAAAATTTAATTTTTACTTAAAAAAATATTTGGTTGTGTTTCAATCATTTAATATCTCTGAGTCTTTGTGTCTAAATGTATTTACAACCAGACCCAGCTTCAAATTTAGAAGTTTTTTTTTTAAATTTAACATGGAGGAGAGAAAACTCATAGTACAATATTTTATCATTCAGGTTTATGCTCTTATATCACGGCAGTTTCGTAATGGAACCTAATTCTGGGCATGCGTATTAACAAATATTTTTATGTTTAAGTTTTCAATAAAGCGAGCAAAACGCAAAAAAAAAATTAAAAAGCACAGATTTAATAACTAAATTTATTATACTTTTTAATAAAAATAAGTTTTTATATTTTTTTTATTTTAATAAATTATTAGTTGAACTAGTTTTAAAAGATACATACATATAAAAAAAAAGTGTTTACTCACTTTTTATAAGTTCAAGAACATTGCAAATTTTTTAGTTACAAACTTTAAGGAAGTCTAATTATTCTTGATAAATAAGTACTTTAATAAATTTTTCGTGAAAACCTGAAATGTTTAAGAGCTAAAGTTTAGGTATATAAAGAATATGTCCAATTTTGAGAAACCGGTTGTTTTTTTTCTTTGTAATTTATGAATTTTTATCGCTAAAAAAATATCCGCTTTTTTAATAAAATTTCCATTTTACTAAATGTAATTACCAGATGTTAAAGAAAACGATAGGAATTATTGTATTGGAAAACACACACACACACACACACACACACACACACACACACACACACACATACACACTTAAAAATGAAATCG